ATCTTTTTAATCTTATCATTTTATTTTTCATGAGGTTTTATATCTTTTGTAGCTGAAGTTTTACCTGCAATTTTCAAATAAAAAAATTAACTAACAATTTCGAGAAAATTAGAAAATCTCAAGTCTCCACAAAAAAAGTTCTCATATTTGTTGTTTTCACTGAAAATTTTTGTTTTTTTCGTTTCCTCTTTTTGTGCTATTTAGCCACATTTTTAAGATTTTTGTTTGTATTCTTTTGCAATTTCTAGTCGAATTATAAGTTTCTCATTTTTCCATCAAATAATTAGTCAAATTTTGAGATTTTCGTAATTTTTCAAATTAAATAATGATTTTTCAGTTCTATTCAAAATTTCAACTAAAAATCTTTGATATGTTTCAATTTCGCAAAATATTTTAGATTAATAGCTTTAATTAAACTTATTAAAAAAGAGCTTTTTAAATTTCTTCTCACGCTTATTATTTTTGTCGATTCTCAAGTTTTCAGAGCTTATGTGACATTTTTTAGTGTTTTCATCAAATTTCCAGTTAATTCAAAAATTTAAAATATAAGCTGAAAATCTTTAGTTTATTTCCAATAGGTGATTATAAAACAGAAAATTGAGAAACAAAATTTTATGAGTTTCTCGGTAAAAAAAAACGCTATTTTGCAATTTTTTGCTCCGTTTAAGCAAAATATATTTTTCTTTTCTTTCTTTCTATTCTCTGTTCTGTTCTTTTACTCTACAAGTGTGTCAGAACTCGTGCTCCAGAGAAAAATTTCAAGTAAAGTAAGTAAGTAAAGTAAGTATCAGGAACATGAAAAAAATTCTATCTGTCAAATAATTTTGAAATTCATTTTTTGACATTTGACATTTTTTATCTCTATTTAATGATACTGATGATCTTGTATATGTTTTTTTTTTATAATTATTTGGTAAAGATACTAAACTTTGCCAATAAAAGCCACAAATAACATTAAATTTAGGATACAGCTTCCTTGTTTCCTCTTCTAATACCCTGTAGCAAAAAAAGTTGAAAAATCATTTTTCCAACAGAAAAAAATAGAGTCAAAGTGCAAAATTAAAATTCTCATAACTACGAAATTTTTATAGATAGAATTTTTTAAACATTTTTTTCGATGTCTCTGAAGCGCGAGTTCTGGCGCACTCTGTATATTAAAAAAAGGCAAATTTTGTAATTAATCTTGAAATGAAATGGCAAGCATGCAAAACACCGATCAAGAAGTGACACTTACAACAAAAATTACCTCTTTAATGCAAGGCCGTAGCACAGCACTGTTTCCCGAAACGACCATTCTTGAAACTCCTCTTCAGATCCTGAAGTCACTGAAAAGTCACGCAATACTGCAAAATATTTGCAATTTTCTTACTGCAAACAAGCAAAATTTAATGTTTGGAAAGTTTGTGAAGTTTGTGAAGGATTTCCATGTTAATTATTTAGTGTCAAGTTCACGCGATTGCTAGAGCTTTACTGGAAGCTTTCAAACTCCACGACGAGCTTGCGAAAACACTCACGCTACATGCGCGCACGAGGACTTATTTTGTGATAATTTCACACTTTTCATTAAAAATGACCATTTTTATGACGAAATGTCACAAGTAAAAGTTGGACATGGTGTAAAAATTCTACTTTTGCGCCTAAGCGTTTTTACTTTTACAATTGTCTCTTTCTTGTCTCTTTTGCTGCTTCAGAAATTTCTGTAGATCATTTTGTACTACTAACTGCAGTTAGTGCACTAGTTAAATCAATAAACACTTTTGAAAATATCAACACAAATTCCATAATGCTTGTTTATAAGCGTTGTGATGATTTTATTACGTGTAAAGCGTCCTGATTATTTTGTTCATTTACTTGCTAATTACAGTGTTAGTCTTTACTGCGGATAAAATATTATGTTATTCGGAGTAAAAGTGAGTTTATGTGGCTTAGCTGAATTATTTGTCTCACTACGTTTGGCAAAATACTCCTATTAACATAATATACTATTTTGTGTGAGCTATACATTGAGACAGTTTGTGATTATTTTTAAAGACAGTAATGGGAAAATAATGAGAGTGATATTGAAACTAGACGTGTGACAGTGGAGTTTTATAACAATTCCACTAACCTTGAAAAAATGACATCATTTGTTGTTGATTTAATAGTTTTTAGTCAAGTAAATATACCAAAACTATTATTTTTTTTGTTTCAATTTCAGTTTTTGCTTAGTTGGGTCACTCTGTACATAAAAGTTAAGATTTCATGATTCATGAGTTTACCTTTGCGATTCCATAATTTTTTACAATCAATTAAAATCTGATAGAATTTTAAGATTACAACAATTTAGTTTTCTCTTTCAAACAATTACTCAATTTTTTTTTCATTAGAAATTTTGAAAATTTTAATTTTGGCAGTATTGAAAACAAATCTTCATTCAAAAATTTCAAATTTTTTTAATTCTTGTTCTTTCAAATTGAAAATTAAAAATTGAATTTTTCAAAAGGTGAGAAAAATCTGGACATTTTGGATTCACCTGAAAAATTGAGATTTCGAGTGTTTTGTTTTGCAATTTCTAGTCAAAGTTATGAGTTTTAAGTTTTCAAAATTCTTGTTAATTGCCTATTTTTTTTTTCATTTAAATTCGAAGCCTCGAATTTCACTGTAAAAATTT